AAGAGGGTGAATAATCCACTCGTAGCTTTTTAATACGAAATGACATAGCTGCCTCGAGGCCGCCACGCCGCGCTCCCCCAGCGCGGGAGGGCCGCCCTTGTCTTTGGAGCTCGCCCCGCGGCGTTTAGAGTCCCCCGACCCCCACTTTCCGGTAAAATAAACTCAAATTTTTAACAAACCCCGCTGGCTCCGGCACCGGTTCTTTCTCTGGACTCGATTCCCCCCGCCCAGCTCGTAACCTCCTGGACTTACCGGTGCTGCCCGCAGCCCTGCCTGCAGCCCTGCCTGCGGACGAGGAGCTCCCGGCCGGGATCCCCGCGGGGTCTGCGCTGCAAACGAAGGGGCGGATGAGCCTGGGGGACCCCGGGGCCCCGCGCTAACGAGCGGGCCCGGGCTTTAACGAACCCCCCGGCTCTCGTCCCGGTGCCGCCGTGCGCGGCGGCTGCCCCCCACCTTCCCCGCACCCCGCTGGGGTTCCTCCTCCTCCTCCTCTCCCTCACGGGCAGCACCGCTAATTACCCCGCGCAGGGCTGGCTCGTTAGTCCCCCACCAGCCCGCGCTGCTCCCACCCTGCCTCTGGGCGCTCGTTAAGTAACGACGGTAGGCCCGGGACCCTGCCTTGGCCGACATCCCGGCCCTTCGGCCCCGGTTTTGCAGCGGGAGCCCCGAGCTCGTTCCTCGGCCGCGGCGTTTCCAGGGCGATTCACCTCCGCTAATTGCCTCCATCTCCTCAGCCGCTAATTGCCTCCTCCATCACCGGGGTGGGCTTGAGCCCGGCACCAGCTCTCCGGTTTTACCGGGATGGTTCCTCCCTCGCCGCCTCGGCCTGGAAAACGAGGGGGAGAAGCGTTAGACCCTTCTGTCGGGCTAATTACCGCGGCGGTTAACGAGCCCCGACCGGGCAATAAGGCATGGCGGCAGGCGGCCGTCCTCCCCCCATGGCACAACCGGTGTTAACCACACCGTGACCCGTCCCCGGCGAGAGACAACGGGTGCCCCGCCCCCGGCGAGAGACAACGGGACAGAAAGCGCTTTCGGAAACTTTAATGGCGGTCGTGGCGGCAAGAACGCGCACAAGCAGCTG